TCCTAATGTATGTTTTTGCTGTTGTTTCAAAAGAAGACAAAAATCCCAGTCTAAAGCGTTTACCAATGCTATTGGTAATGAAGGGTTTAAACAAGACTCAGGTCCACCCACTAATGTTAGATTTCTCAACTGACTTTTAAAGGAAAGTTGGAAGAAGAAAGTTTCTCAGAGTGGACTCAGCAGCAGACCAAACTGGTTAAAACATTATGGCACAGCCTATTGTTAGTGTATGCTGGTGCCATTACAGAGCAGATTGGAATATTTGATAATATGGATAAAGATGCCGTGTTAGCAGATTGAAAGTCTTTCGAGAACCAATATGAATACAGATATTCTTAAAAACTGTACAAGGAAGTCATTGTTCAGAATGTTGAAAGGAAATATAGTTATAAGAGTGGCAGAAGAATACTTTGAAGGAACCATTGCCAAATATGTTCTAAAATGAAAATGATTTAGCTTGTTTTGACTCCTGTGCTGACCAGAATTCCCCTCCACTTGGTCTTTCGTTATCATTACTAAAGTTATATGTACATGCAGATACTAGTCTTGGCTTAAGTGTCTTTGGTGCAAATACTCACTTATTTCCATGTGACACTTTTTTATACTTCTACAGTCCTGTAACTTTAAGGCATCATCATTTGCAGTATTTACAGGCTTGATAGTATATCAAGTTTACCTAGATTACCATGGTGATAATACTTTGCTTACCTATGTTACCTAACAGCCAATTTGTGGTTTCGGCAGTGTACCAACTTTCCTTGCCTGTGGTCATGTAGTCTGAGCGAACTGAATTGTTGTACATCTGTCTTAGGGATTACTCTGGCATAGGCTTTGTTAGGTAAGTCGGTGTGTACACAAGACCAAAGTAAACCTATTAAGGAGACTAGCAGTTAATGAAGCATGAGATTTTGAAATGTGTTGCTATAAAATTGGGTTAGAAGATCCAGTGTCCTAAGTGGCAAGACATTTTGCTAATACGCAGATCTATTTCCTCTCTCGCCGTGTAAAATAAACCACAATCTTTTCACTTTTCATACGTCTATTTAAATATACCAATTACATATTTTTTACATAGCTAAGGTGTTTTTTAGTAGAATTCAGTTACATCACCATAACCATTACAGCTTACTGCAGTGGCTATAGTGTAAAGAGTATTTCGGTGCCGGGTCTCATTTTTTGTCAAACCATTTCTGAACAGTTTTACTCCAAGAAGACCAAAATTAAGACATATTCCAAGTTCTGTACTCCTTTTCCACTTTTAGATTCCTCGTTAAGGGCTGGGAGGATAAGTAATGATCAAAAGTCAACGTGTCAGTGATGAAATCTTAAAAATCCAATAGCCTTAAGGATAACTAAAAGTAACAAATAGTAAATTAAATTAATCTGGTTTCCCATAGTATGAGTTGAACAACTAGGTGTTTTTTAATCCATCGTTTATTAACTAGTTCTACATCAACATAAAATAACATAGTTACTAACTTAGAAACATAGAAACATAGAATGTGACGGCAGATAAGAACCATTCGGCCCATCTAGTCTGCCCAATTTTCTAAATACTTTCATTAGTCCCTAGCCTTATCTTATAGTTAGGATACCCTTATACATATCCCATGCATGCTTAAACTCCTTTACTGTGTTAACCTCTACCACTTCAGCTGGAAGGCTATTCCATGCATCCACTACCCTCTCAGTAAAGTAATACTTCCTGATATTATTTTTAAACCTTTGTCCTTCTAATTTAAGACTATGTCCTCTTGTTGTGGTAGTTTTTCTTCTTTTAAATATAGTATCCTCCTTTACTGTGTTGATTCCCTTTATATATTTAAATGTTTCTATCATATCCCCCCTGTCTCGTCTTTCCTGCAAGCTATACATGTTAAGATCCTTTAACCTTTCCTGGTAAGTTTTATTCCGCAATCCATGAACCAGTTTAGTAGCCCTTCTCTGAACCCTCTCTAAGGTATCAATATCCTTCTGAAGATATGGTCTCCAGTACTGTGTACAATACTCCAAGTGAGGTCTCACCAGTGTTCTGTACAATGGCATGAGCACTTCCCTCTTTCTACTGCTAATACCTCTCCCTATACAACCAAGCATTCTGCTAGCATTTCCTGCTGCTCTATTACATTGTCTGCCTACCTTTAAGTCATCAGAAATAATCACCCCTAAATCCCTTTCCTCATATGTTGAGGTTAGGACTCTATCAAATATTCTGTACTCTGCCCTTGGGTTTTTACGTCCAAGATGCATTATCTTGCACTTATCCACATTAAATGTCAGTTGCCACAATTCTGACCATTTTTCTAGTTTACCTAAATCATTTGCCATTTGGCTTATCCCTCCTGGAACATCAACCCTGTTACATATCTTAGTATCATCAGCAAAAAGACATACCTTACCATCAAGACCTTCTGCAATATCACTAATAAAAATATTAAAGAGAATGGGTGAATTATAAGGAATTCGAAATTAATTTCAGATTTTAGGCCAAAACATTGAAATGAAGGGTCCGGTTTGAGAATCATTAGACTGACAGTGTTATTAACTAAAGTGAGAAGTCAAAGTGAATTAAAAGTGAATTTCAAATCTAAGGACAGAGTAGCCAAACTGAACATGTAGCTGACTTAAAGAATATTTAGATTTCCATGATCTGAAATTTCGTTAATGATCCTAAGTGTGGTGAATGCAACATGCTCGCATAAATGGCTCCTCACATAATATTTTGGCGCTTTTATATTTTTATTTTTATATCAGGGATAATTTTAAACAAATGTTTAATTGGGAGCCATTACTTCTCCTGAAAATAAACCATTAACTAAATTATTGAAAATCATCTACATTTCCTTTGAAATATAAATTAAAGATTTTACAACTGGCATCACAATCCAGTTCAGTCCTGGCACAGAGAGGGCACACATTTCACTGGAGAAGAAGAAACATTGTTTCTGTTTTTCCTCCATTTACTTTGATGACAGAAAAGGGATGACTTTATAACATTGATTAACAGGCAGCCAAGATGGAGGTGCTATGTTCCTGGATAAAACTCAATGCAGTGGTGTGTGTCTACATTTAATTTTATTTTTCAGACATTCGCAAAACACGTTTGTTAAATATACTGGAAAAGTTAACAAAATATAAAAAATCCTAGGAAGTAATTGTTGCCCTTTCAAATTGCGAATATTCTAAATTTACTCATTGATCAAAAAGCTGGATTAAACAAAGAAGTATTTTGGTATTTGGAGATGTAATAAAATATCATACTAAAGTTTTAAACAAATTCTCTAAAGCTTAAGTGAAACATAAACATATTTCATGGCTCAGTACAACCCTTCTAAAAGGTATCCTTTGATTTGTGAGAACCTAGACAACTTTGTGATGTACTCATTGGGAACTGGCCCTTGTTATTTCAAACTATCGATATGAGAATTCTAGCAGTTAATGGTTTTAAGCATTTCATGTACTCAGCATTTTTCTCTGCACCTCTCTCGGTCCCTCTTTAATGAGAGAGAGAAAAAACTCTAGCAAAATAAACAGAATGAAATTCAGCTGTTGTTGAGGATCCAGACCCCAGCTTGATTTAAGATTCTGCTTCAGGTAATTAAGGTGGGGACTCCGGCATTCCACAAAAAGCCATTAAGTTTCCCTGAATAGCTCAATTGGGTTTTTTATGGTTAGATTTCCATATCAGGTTTCAGCTCTAAAGAAGTTGCTTGTTCTTGTATTTTTAACATTAACTCATACTCTTCTGAAACATTCCTGTTTTTGCAATTAAGTCTCAGCTAAACGAAAGCCAAAGTGTACACTCTGAACAGCACATAGAAGTCGTCTTTTTGGGCGGTCTGTAAATAATGACCGTGCAACCATACCCAAACTTATCATATGCAAATCCTTCCGAAACACCTATTAAGTTCGTATCGGCAACATGTGGGACTTTTTATGTCATCAGAGGGTAAATGTGGAAAATAACTGGAGTTACCATGCAGGTGTTTTTAGAATGAGGGAAACATACGGTATATTCATGTCAACACATATGAAAATACTCACAAATTTAAACTCGTGATGTTTTGCTTTCTTTCTTCCGGATCAGTAAAAGTGGCAACGGATACACTTGATAGACTTGTATCTTTTCTGAACCATAAAAACGATGTGGGCATGTAGTGATCATGTCATCACAAAAGCTAAGAGACTGGTAAATGCTTAAAATGAATCCAATAGTACATAGCAGGATTAATCCCTTTAGTCTGAGTGTTGCATTTCCTATTGGAATGTCCGTAGAGTCATCACAGACTAGTTATCGAACATAAATGTTGATAGGGAGATCAAGCCAGCTCCCAATCCCACTCCACACAAATGTTTTGGCTAACGCACCATGGCAGCTGTGCAGACCATTCCTGGAATGCAATAAAATAAATGAATCTGTAGGGTGCACTTTGTGTTTGGAAATCATTACATATTTCATAGTTACCAGTAGATCAACAGTATAAAACAAATAGAATAGTCTAGAAATGAAAGAGATTTTGAGCATTTAAGGTAGATGAATTGGTTAATGCATTCACAGCTCAGCTTTGATTTATATCAGTCCATGTTAATGTCAACTACAGTTGCAAGAAAAAGTATGTGAACCCTTTGGAATGATATGGATTTCTGCACAAATTGGTCATAAAATGTGATCTGATCATCATCTAAGTCACAACAATAGACAATCACAGTCTGCTTAAACTAATAACACACAAAGAATGAAATGTTGTCATGTTTTTATTGAACACACCATGTAAACATTCACGGTGCAGGTGGAAAAAGTATGTGAACCCTTGGATTTAATAACTGGTTGAACCTCCTTTGGCAGCAATAACTTCAACCAAACGTTTCCTGTAGTTGCAGATCAGATGTGCACAACGGTCAGGAGTAATTCTTGACCATTCCTCTTTACAGAACTGTTTCAGTTCAGCAATATTCTTGGGATGTCTGGTGTGAATCGCTTTCTTGAGGTCATGCCACAGCATCTCAATCGGATTGAGGTCAGGACTCTGACTGGGCCACTTCGGAAGGCGTATTTTCTTCTGTTTAAGCCATTCTGTTGTTGATTTACTTCTATGCTTTGGGTCATTGTCCTGTTGCAACACCCAAGTCTGTCTCCCTCCAAGTCAATGGCGCCACCATCAACTCTACCTGGCAGTTCTCTTTGAGTTTGCTGGCGCTAAATAAATAATAAAATAATAATAAAATAATATTAATAATAATTAAATACAAGTCTATTAAAATTTTTTGGTGAATAGGTCTTTTTCAAGTCTAGTAAATATGTGTTCACCTAAATCAGGACTTTCTATATATAGAAGACTAATGATAATAAGCAAAACATCCTTAGACGAATTAGATAATTTATCCCCCACACATCCCATGGGAAGGAATATGTGTTATGTGGACTGATAACTAAATTCTCTATATAGGTTGTTTGTGTACAATTTAATGTAAGTGGCAGTAAAATGAAATACAGTTTTGAATACATATCTAGTAAACATTTTTTTTTAAACAAGTTCTTATAGCCCATACACATTTTTAAACACACCTCGTTATATGCTCAGAAACGATTTGTGTGTGTTTAAAAACCTGCATAAGTATATTTTGGCCAGAATAATAAAAGATATATAAAATGGGATATATATCTCATTTGCCTTCATTTGCCTTCTGCTTTCGTTGACCTAGAAAAAAAAATATAAAAAAGATCAATGAGCATGTTGTAGCAAGGCAAAATTAAAAACTATTCCGGGGGAAACTCCAAATAAAAATTCAGCAGAAACAGTCTATTGATTTCTCTTGATAATTTCTTCTTGTATATAAACCACTTGACATTAAAACGATAACTTTTGCACTCATCTTTCTTTTTTTCTTATTTATTCATGCTTAACCCAATAGTTTATTTAAAATCCAAAAAATCTAAAGAACGAGTTTTGAATGATTTACAGACAACATAGCATCTAGGAACTCAATATTTTGCAAAGTTTATATTATTTAATATTATATAATATTTTGGAAGCGCAGAGTTGATTTGCAAAACCTGCTAATAAAATTGTTGACAGTTATTATTAATATATACACATGTTCAAAAGGTTCACTCCCATCGTCAACTAGGTAGCCTCAACAATTACAAAAACAAAGGTTTTTGCTTATATTTAATGAACAATACACATGAACATAACCTTGTTAATTTTAGAGTGCCTTTCTTTTTGTTATGATACAATTCCAATTATTATCATTGTAGGGTAATCTTACGATTTAATTTGTATAGCGTTTACTATTGCATTGTCACATACTTTTCAGTGCATTCTACGTTTATGATAATGTAACACTAGCTACAGTGTATCGGATGTCCAAGAGTGAGTTCATTCTTTACATTTTCATTTCAATTAGATCCCAAATGGTTCACTTACTAGGTTAATTAATCATTGGTCATGCTACTCCTTAAAGACTCCATCATCTGTTTCACTGACATCCCTTGATGAAGTGGCCCTCGGAGATATAAAACGCGTCAGCTGGGTTATCTTAGCAGTGCACTTCATACTGTATTCTATTATTTATATACTTTGCTCTGTTTTTATAACACAAATCATTTTATTGCTATTTATAGTTTATTTACCATAAAGATACAGAACTTTTACATATGTCATCATTGACATTCACATCAATCCCAGTCTAATGTTAGCTGAAAGAACACTGCTTCTCTAAAAAACAAACAAAATAATTCACTATATGGAAATTGCTCCATGTATACATAGATAATTTAAATAAATAACCTTTTGAGGGAAATGAGTATCAGAAACATCTAAAACAGAATAGAAAAGTCATATTCTTCAAGCAACCAGGTCCTGCAGAAAAGCCTAAGCAGAGACTGGGCCCCTAATAACAGCATTGATTATCAACACCCAGTACTCACAATCAACAAAGCCCTGAGAAAAAGTCTAAGCAGAGACTGAGCCCCTAATAACGGCATCAATTATCAAGCAACCAAGCCCTGCAGAAAAGTCAAAGCAGAGGTATCATCTATGAAAGATCTATTCAAGAATTACTTATTGTTTCCCTTTATCTCTTAATTTAAAATGGTGTTCTATTCCACCTCAATCCCTATATTCTCACTACTTAATTGATAACTATTATATCCCCCATCCTGATCTTACTTCTGATCATCCTTCAATACTGCCCTCTGGAATGCACGCTCTATTAGTAATATTACAAAATCCACTGCTGTCCATGACTTCTTCATCGTCCCCTAGACTTACTAGCCTTAACAGAAACATGGCTCTCCCCTCTGACACTGCTGCCCCTGCATCTTTTGGTGGTCTTCAATGTACCCACAGCACAAGACACTCTGAATGTAAAGGTGGTGGTGTAGGGTTTCTCCTCTCACCTCACTGATCCTTGAAACCTTTACCCACCCCGCCTTATCTCTCTTTCCCATCATTTGAAATTCATTCGATTCATCTTTTCAAACCCTTCTCTGCTAACATTGCCATTATTTATCATCCCCCTGGTTCCCCTCTACTCTTTCTTGACCACTTTGCTGCCTGGCTTCCCTACTTCCTCTCTTCTAATATTCCATCCCTAATTCTCGGGGACTTCAGTATTCCCATTAACCCACCTTTGACCTCAGCAGCCACTAAGCTACTTTCAGTTACTTCTTCCATCGGGCTATCGCAGTGGGCTAATTCTCCCACCCATGTAGCTGGCAATACCCTTGACCTTATTTGGAGATGTAATAAAATATCATACTAATATTATACTTTTATGCATGTACAGTATCGAATATCTGCAACACTCCATTTCCTCTCTCTGATCACCACCTCTTATCGTTTGCTCTCAAGTACCCCCTCACTCAACAACCTCAGCCTAACCACCCTCAACTCAGGAGGAACCTTAATTGTATTGACCTCCAGCAGCTGTCAGCTGATGTTGATTCACAATTGCTATCCATCCCTTCCCTCTCCTGTCCCTCACTGGCCATCTCCACATATAATACTACCCTCACCTCTGCCTTGAACGTTGCAGTCCCACTCCAAACGAGGACACACCCCCAACCGTGGCATACTAAACACACACACTACCTGCAAAGATGCTCCCGTTGTGCTGAACACTCCTGGAGGAAGTCTTGCACCCAAGCAGACTCTCTCCATTATAGATTCATATTGTGTTCATACAGCGCAGTACTTGCCCTCGCCAAACAGTCATACTTTTCCTCTCTCATTAGTTCATTCTTCCGTTATCCTAGACATCTCTTTGACACCTATAACTCTGTTCTTCACTCTGCTGTGGCCACCCCCCAAACTAACCTCAGTCCCCATCATAATTATCTCTGCAGTTTCCTTTCTCCCCTGTATTGATGATTGGAGATGCAACTGACTTTGAACAGTGCATGGCATCTCATGGGGTTAGGTGGGTAGAACCCAACAAATTGGGGATGAAGCAGCACGCCACCATATTTAAACTTAACCAGCCACCACTGCCCATTTTACAAATTGAAGTTTACTCTGTATGTTGTTTAATGTGAATTCTATGGATATATTTTCTCTTTTCCGGATTCAGTTTTTCATATTCTAACGTGTGATTTGGATTGAATCTTATGAACTGTCATTCCATGTTTCCTATGTTACATTTTTAATACACATCTCTTTAGAGCTACTCAGTCAGAACAAACACTGCACACATTTTAATTCTACATTTTACTAATGCTTTATTGCTTTACTGAATTAGTATTATCCAAACGCAATTAATATGTCTGCCTCACCAAGCGCCTTAACTCATTGGTTCCAGTGAGTGTTTATTACAATCTGTAGGTAGTCAAGGTACAAGAATGCCTTGTATTATTGGAGCATATGGAGGTTGGTTTTTAACCTAGTATGGTTAGGTGGAATGCATGAGGTGACATACTGTGGGTGATGGAGCTTGTGTTTCTGGGAATAATGTGGTTTGGTGGGAAGTGTGTTACGCTGGTTTCTAGTAAATTGTGGCATTGTTTGTTCAAAATAATACCACTGATTTATAGAACACACAAGTAATTATCTGTGTTACTGTGTTACTAAAGATCTGATCATTTGTGGGGAGTTTAGATCTATGGACTTCATGAAGTAGTGATATTTGTTAACTTGTACATACTTTAATCTGAGAGTATCTCAAGACATAGACTATTGGTAGGAATTCTGATATCTGAATCAGCATATCTAGCATGTACCTTACATACAAATTGGAGTCTTGATGATTAAAGGATGGGCAGCTAATTCCCCTTTAAAACCAAGTGCTCTGAGATGTGAGTCTCATTAGATTGCATTGTGATCTTTGTAAAGATAATGAGCATGGGTTTCCACACTGAGTGACTAGAACAACTTAATACGTTGCAATTTGACTAATTATAACATGGAATGCATCCACAATTACAAGTAGCCACATCAAAAGATCCTTATCCAGACATCTTATACTATAAGAGGTTTTAAGGAATTTGAAATGCACATACCATAAAAAAGAGTGTGTATTAGATTGAACTGACGGCCTTTTATCTCGCGTTATATTACTTGGGTTATATTCAGTTTTCTGTGATGTACATTTTATGGATTTTATTCTCCACAATTCCCTATCCTCTCTAAATGTGATGGTGCCACTGCTTTAACCTTTACAATATCCGTAAAAAAATTAATAGACTCTTACAGTATACAGTGGCCGAAGAGTATTCAGGAAAGTGCTTTCAATTAGAGTTAGATCCCATATTTTCAGTGATTTTTCTCAATGTCAGCAATCCACTAATGAGACCAACTTAATCAAATTAGCATTTATGATAAATCACATAGCACATAAAGAGTTACTAATTTCAGGGACGGTACAAAATATATTACGAATATACTAAAAATCAAATATCTGTGAAAAGAAACAGGAGTTTAAAGGGACACTATCTGCACCCAGACCCCTTCAGCTCATTGAAGAGGTCTGGGTGCAGTGCCCCTGTCAGTTTAACCCTGCAATGGTGATTATTGCAGTTATTGATAAACGCCACCCCACGTGGCTGTCTACCTGGATCATTAGGCAACATCCAGTGTCAGATAGAGCCCGCATTGATTTAATGCTTTCTTATGGGGCTGTCCTAATGCGATCACGGCAATCACCGCACATGTGCGTTAGGTGTCCGATGTCGTGGAGGAGGAGAGGAGGCGGAGCCTGGCCCAGTGCCAAGGGACATTGGCACTGGATTCAGGTAAGTGACAGAAGAGGTTTTAACCTTTTCTATGCTGAGGGGGTGGAGGGGACAAGCAAGGGGGGCACTATAGAAATACAATTTTGTAGTCCTAGCCTATAGTTTACCTTTAAAGTTACTCTGTTGTCTTCTATGATTTTTGCATATTGTACAAATCCCCCAATGGCGACTTTGCCACTAGCCTGACATCTGCTCTTCTCTTCAGCTCCAACTGCTTCATCTGCCAGGAATCAACATCAGTGCACATGCATGCGCAAGAGTACATCACTGATTTATAAGTAGTGTCGTGTGGGACCATGAGAGCCCCCACAATCAAAACCATCCACCCCACCCCCCGCAGCCTTCACTAGGGACGGGTGAGAGCTTGACAACGCTTGACAGCGATAACGCTTCCTTTTTGTCAAGCTTTGTTAAGCGTGGGAAAAATACATAATACAAAATAATCTCAACTTTGTTTCATAATATCTTTTACCTGGGTTGGAATTTCAGGGAATTTCCAAAACAGTCAATGTGAGTATTTCATAAATATTTTATCTTTCCAAAATACTTTTTTTTGCTGGGGTTAATGACAGAGCCACTGTAATACATTTAAGACAGAGATGGTGATGAACAATAGGGTGAAAATCCACATTAAACATGTTAGAATATATTAACTAAACAGTGAAATATGGAACACTGACAAGGGACGGGAGAACTAAAAGTCAACTTTTTCAATTTGGAACAATAGCTGATTTTTATAACTGAGTTACTTTGGTCTAAATTATTTTTCTTCCTCATTTCATCATAATTCTATAGTAAGAAAATAATCCATAAAGAGTAAAGCTTATGAATAAACATATACCTGGAACAAATAGGCATTTTTATATAACTGATCCTGTACACTACGGCAATAACTCATCAATTGTACAACGCAGTAAAGTTACACCAAACAGAAAACTACATTTAATATTGTTTTGTCAAATTTGCTAAACTAAATTAGCTACATTTTTAAAATTGCTCAAGCCTGTAGTTTTACTGTAAATCTTTTTTAATTCACAACAAATATTGTTTTAGCAAGTTTGTTTTTTTAATTATGGTAAAAGAAAATATTTATGACAATTTTTTTTTTTTTTTATAATCTTTTTTTTATTTGCTATCGATGTACATTCTTTTCTAAACTTACCACCTTCCTAATTAGAAGACCAGATACCATTACTATCGTTCATGTGATAAATCTGTTATTTCGCTGATGACTAAGTCTTTGTAAGATATATTTTGTTACAGTTTCAGCGTTTGATTTATATGTAATAATGTGTCATATGATCTAAAGTATTTAATTTTTTTTACTCATTTTGCCAAAGCATAAAAGATCAGATGTATCAAGTTACGATCATCACTGTCTTCACCCTGGCATTTTAGTTATATTACTATATTCCTTTATAATATTATATTTTTTTCTAATGTAGCTGGTGCCAAGTTTTATAATATCATTATTATAGGTTTGTATGATATTAACAAGTTTAAAAAAAGACTCACAAATCTTAAACTACAATCTAGGCTTAAAACCTTCTTGCCATCTGACTTATATCCTGTTTCCTCTCCTTTTACATCTAAGAAATTCTTTCCACTCACATCTAACAACCACTTTTCCTCTCCATGTCACATTAATTCACCTTCATCCCTTCCTTGTGCCCATTATAGCAACCCTTATTCCTTCACGGTGTCACATACAACTATCTCTATCTGTTATCCATGTCAATTAAACACACCACTCCACATCCAATGTCAAACCCAACAACTATTGCTCATGTCAACTCAACCCAGCCCTTGATGTGTCCATGTTACATCCACCCACTCCTTCCCCTTCTGTCACTCACATTTTTACTGACTGCTTAATCAAACACAGATCTGAAGTAGCTGAGGCCTGGAGTCTACAGGAAACAAAAGAGGACGTCATATTTGCTTTACCTAGCTGCCACATTCGGTAACGTTAGTTCCCCTCATCCAGGTTACCTCTCAGGGATCAGTTTTCAGCTGCTCTTGGTGAATGGAAAGTTTGAGCCGAGATTTTAGTATTTAGATTAAAGTGATCATATCATTGCATTCTATATTGTACTAGAAAATGAACAATATAAAATGATTTCATCACGGTTTACAAATCTCTAGAATGAAATGTATATAAAGCTGATGGCGTATCATTCCTTAGTCTGTCTATCAGTCCATCCGTCCGCCGGTCTGTCTGTCTGTCCGTCTGTCCATCTATCTATTTCTCAGTTTGTCTGTCTGCGTATCATCTGTATAAATGACAGTTTCAGGAATTGAGTCATTTTGCACCATTCTGATTTATGTTTGCTTCTCTGCAATAATTACAATATATTATTCTGGTCAACAAAAAGCAGATGTTTTTCTTTAGATTAGGTTTGAAATGTAACACACTACACATCACATTGTAACTTTACCTCTCAACCAATCTATTAAGCATTCCATGTATGTGATTAGTCAGGATGCCCATGGGTTAAAGCCTTCAGAATGAGTCTCCAGCGGTGAGTTTCTGTAACTCATTAACCGAATCCCAAGAGTCAGGTCAAAGTAATCACTACCTTTGGGACCAATCTTCTGATGAATTGTGTGCTCCTGACCTGCAAAATGCATTGCATTTCTCCAATTTGCTCTAAGTCTGGAGTTTGAGACATTGACATAGGACACGTGCAGTTTCACTTATTCCCAAATGTTTCTCGTTTGTCTACGAAGATTGCCTGTGCACCTTCGCAAATGTATTTCATTTACTTCACAGTGAGAAAGCAGTCTAGCAGATAGAATAATGGTGTATTCAGCGCTTTCTCTTCCATGAATGGTTTAAAAGATCAAGTTATCTTCATGCAGTTACAATTTTAAAGATTATGTATTTTGGGGGGGAGGGGTATTATTTCCAAGAAAGAACAAACAAAATAAAATATAAATCCATATACTTCTTAATAGTAATTTAAGTAATTTAATCAAGTTTTTGTTTTACTCATAATATACATTTTTGTACATTTTGGGAACATGTCACGCAATGCCTGTGGTTTTGCATTCAGATTTGTCATTCATCAGGAAGGCAGCCACTAGAGGTGTATGTAACACTGCAAGGTGAACATTGCTATATCTCCAAAACAGCAATGGTTTGTATGCATATACACATACATATTTACACAAATACACATACACATTGACACACACACAAATACACTAACTGACACATACACATTGACGCACATACAGATACACTAACTGACACATATATATTTACACAAATACACATACACATTGACACACTCAAATACACAAAGTGACACATACATATTTACACACACACAAATACACAAACTGACACATACATATTTACACAAATACACATACACATTGACGCACATACAGATACACTAACTGACACATACACATTGAAACACACACAATACACTAACTGACACATATATATTTACACAAATACACATACACATTGACACACTCAAATACACAAAGTGACACATACATATTTACACACACACAAATACACAAACTGACACATACATATTTACACAAATACACATACACATTGACGCACATACAGATACACTAACTGACACATACACATTGAAACACACAAATACACTAACTGACACATACACATTGACGCACATACAGATACACAAACTGACACATATATATTTACACAAATACACATACACATTGACACACACAAATACACCAACTGACACATACATATTTACACACACACAAATACACAAACTGACACATACATATTTACACAAATACACATACACATTGACACACATACAGATACACAAACTGACACATACACACTCACACAGATGTAGTGCCCCCTCCCTCTCTCTTGTGCTGCATTCTCTATGTTGGAGGAAGTAACAGATTTTCACTTCTTGCCAGGCTGTCGATATTAAATGGGGTCTGGTCGCACTGTTAAATGGTCGTGGCCCACAACTTGTCCCCTGTTCATCAATTCCCATTGGGTCGCCCTAGGTGTTTGGTCCACCCTTTGGTCCCCTCAATCGTGGGGCTCCCCAGTGCTGCCTCACCAGTTGCACAGTCGGTAGTTCCACCGCTGATGGGCAGTGTATCAGATTAAATATGTAAATTCTAATAGTAAATTGGCTCATTCTCAGAGTGAATAGGCAGATTGAAAGGTGGAACGGGCTAATTGTTACAGTAAATTGGTAGATTCTCAGAGTTTCCTAGTAAATGGGCAGATTCTCAGAGTTAGTATATTTAGAAAATTTCCACAATGCATCAAGCAAAGCTTGTAATGAATTGTCAGAAATTACATGGTGAATGGAGGATCTCTGATTGAAGGGGCAGATTCTCAGAATTTCTGGGTAAATGATCAATATCTTTTTTTCTTCTCTATACCCTAACTGGCCTTTTCGTCCTTTACTTTAATGCAATTCCAATTAGTGCCAGATCTAAAAATAAACAGAATAGCATCAGAAAATTCAATCTGCGCTCCATCATTGTGATAATAATTGTTTTGCATTTGATTTGCATTTTGTATTCTACCTTTTGACATTAAATCAAAATTTGGGACATCTTTAAATTTGCATTTTATATAACTATCCTTTTAAATATCCAAGGAGCATGGAAAGGACCAGCCTATCTTAATATCGGTGGGTTCTGCTATCGTTAGGTATCTTGCGTGCTTTTGTATGGTGTGTGCGCGCTAAGAATATCTCATTATATTTTTAGAAAATATATTTTTCCACAATTATTTAAACATTGTCAGCAGTCAGCTTGAGAACCAGTTTAAACTACAACTTTACAAAGAACATGTCTATTATCTAACTCTGCAAGGTATTGTGGCATTTTTTATTCAATCCCTGCAGTTTCAATGCTGCTGACAATGTCCATATGCCTAAAAGTATTTGTTTTGTGTTAACTCATTCATTTAATACTAAAACTACTCTTTAAACTTGAAGTGATGTAAGAAATAAAATATGCTTCTAATATGCATCATTTATGCAATAAAAGTTATAATATGACCTTAATACATTTAAAGTTCTGTGAGTGAAAACATGTATTTTGACTAATAATATAAATATTGAAAAGTTTAACTTCATTAATCATCTGGTTTAATAATATTATTAACTATTAAATTTGGTTTTAAAGATAAATCTCCTTTATAATACACACTTGTAGCATTTTATTAATTACTGATCACATTAAATCTTGTGTTTATTAGTATAGATTATGGCCTACTACTGATTTTAATATTTTGTAAAGAACTTAAGGGACACTATAGAGTCAGGAACACGATTGTGTATTCCTGACCCTATAGTGTTTAAAACACTATTCAGGTGGCCGGTCCCCCCTTGCCTCCCTTAAATACAGTAAAAATTCACCTTTATTCCAGCGCTGTGCGGGTCTGCCAGCGCTGGTCACTCCCCTGATCCACCTCCTTGGCTGACATCATAAGAATTGACAATCTCAGCCAATCCAATGCTGTCCCATATGAAAGCATTGGGTTGGCTGAGAGTGTCAATTCTGCTTATGTCAGCCAAAGAGGGTGGGTGGGGGCAGAGCCAAATGCCACCGTGGCCAATTAGCATCTCCTCTTAAAAAATGACTGCCACCGGAGGTGTTCCTAGGCAGGAATGTAAACATTGCCTTTTCTCTTAAATGGAAGTGTTTACATTAAAATGCCTGCAGGGACAGGCTATATTCACCCGAACAACTACATTAAGCTGTAGTTGTTCTGGTGACAATAGTGTGCCTTTAAGGAAAGTCCAATAAAAGGTGCATGAAATGTTTAGCAGAAAATCTGCAAATACTTTCACCCTTTTTCCTCCATGTATTAGAAAAGGATAGAAAGATTTCTGGGCAAAAAATGGCTAAATAATGTTGCAGCAGCACCTGCTTTTAAGATAAAGAGACATACAGGTGGTCATCAATTTATGACCTACCTGTTTTACAACGGCTGGCACTTACGACCAGCTCTCTAGCATGGGGATTCAAGGGATTCCTCGCGTTAGAGAGCTGGTCTACGTTCGGGTAAATTTCCCTGAACATAGACAAGCGCAGCAGAGCAGCGAATACCTCCAATCTATGTTAGGAGAACGTTCCCCGAACATAGATTTGAGGTATTCCCTGCTTTGCTGCACTTGTCTATGTTTGGGGACATTTACCCGAACGTAGACATACGCACCAGAACCATCCTAACCCCTTCTTAAACAGCGGAATGATTACCCTGTATGTAACAAAGAGCCTGATTTACCCCATACTTTCAGCTTACTAACCCTGCCGCTGTGACAAGACAGGAATAAACCCTAAAAGCCCCTTAGTGAGGGAGGGCAGGACAATTTCAGCCAGGTAAGAAAATTAAACTGAGGAATTCTAAAATGGCTGCCTATTTATATTGGGTCAGCCCCTTATTTACAAATACCCTTTCACAACACACCTTCCACCTAAGCCCGCCTCTTAGCTATGCTCGTTCCTTGGGGGCTACATTACATTTCTGTAATACTGTAAAGCAATGTAGGGGTTGCCTAATAAACACCACATTCAGCCAATAGTGAAGCTAAATTTATTAAACATAAAAATAAAAAGATTCAGGGATTTTGCCAAAAGTTGCAAATTCTGATTGGGGAAAAACAGGCTGTATTCGATTGAAAGGCAACCAACTGCAACCATGTTGACCAATGCCCATGTAATCAACCATTTCAGTTAACTTCATTATTGTTTTCTGCAAAGGTAGCTCTTGAATAGATTTAAAAAAAAAATCACTAAATAAAAAAACAAATGGGATCACTGGCTGCACAAACTGTCCTGTTTATTTGGGGACCAAGAAAATCCCAGAATAATATTCCTAAATACATTTAATTCTATTACAATCTAAACAGCCAAAGGCCCCCTTTTTAATTTATGTATTGATTTCCTTGGTGAATTAGTGAATTCTTACTCAATGCAAGGAGTATTTAAGTCAGTTCA